GAAAAACTTGAGATTTTGTTTGCGTACAAATTATACGACGTCTTTATTGCACTGAAGACGAGTCTGCGTGCAACAGCAATGATGTTTCAGTAACCAATTTAAATGTTTAACAACCGTTTAATTGCGCCTGTCTCGCGGGCTATATTTAATGTATTCATCAGAGCATTGATTAAAATATTCCTCTCTTGCATGTGCATAATCACGAATGCTTGTTTACACTTCAACTATATTCCGAACATGCTCACGGTTGAGTGATCACGTTCGAATTATCAAATAATATTTCATTTACTTATAAATAAATGTACCTATATTATTTATGATGTAAAGAAATAAATGTATATTATAAATACTAATATATATCTTGTTTTTTTTCTTTATTTAAGGGAGTTTATTCTTATTTGATATATCTTTTAATTAACCTTTTCACGTTTCTTAGTAGATTACCATTACATTCCTTTCTCTTCCGCTTTCGTTCCCCTGCTTTTTAATTGAACTCTAGCTAAATAACAATGGTTTCCAGGGAGAACCGTGTGGAGCGCGACCTGATGGGATATATTGATAGGAATGTAGTAATTAGATCCCCATACTAACAACCATAGCGACAATAAACTTTTGACTGATTGTTATTTAAACTTTTAAATATTTATAACTATGTGTGTATATGTATTTTCATGTGTTCGTATTGTATCTGCTACGCCTAACAACTTTTATGTTCTCCAACTGTATGTATTACCATAAAATGTTTCATGCCAGGGAGGGATCCTTGTGCCTTGTGATACGGGTTCTTCGGATACCCAGTTCAGGCACCAGTTCTCTGCAACTTTAATGTATCTATGGTATTATTATAAATGGTTCATTGTACACAAAAAAGTTGTCAGATAAATAAACATTAAAAATAAACGGTTACCATACCCTAAGAACCTGCAATATCAGGAGCATTACGCGCGAGTTGCCAACCCTGAAGAAACTTCTTTACCCATTTTTAAAGAATCCCATGCTGTAGTTTCTCGGAAAAACTTCTACAATCAACCTCGATCTCAATATTTCATTTTGTACATTACATTATACTATAAAAATGTTCCTATAAAATATAGTTACTCGTATGTGGATTTCCAGTAAAGCCATCCGAAAAATCCTTTGACAACACCCTATCGCATCGTATTACGTAAATGCGAGTGAAACTTTTTATTTTATAACCTGGCACAAAGGTGCGCCGGGTCTAAATTAAACAAGTTATGTGCCCAGGCATCCGACATATTTGTCATACGATGTTCAACTTTAATCTGGACGCGATAAAGTGAAAAATTCCAACGTATAGGGAGAGCGTTTTATTTTCACCAAATTTCCCCAATATCAATATTTTGTAACAGGTTAAAACAGTTATATTGTTTGGGAGGCCGAATTCAATGATGTGCTTTTTAAACAAACGTTGTATGTTACCAATATTGTGCCGTTGGCGCTGTAACAGTTAGCGAATTTAATTTGGTTACATGGATTTTTGACCAAATATTAATTCTTTCTTTATTCTTTATTATACACAAAAGGTTATTGAAATGTAAAAACAAACATAATAATGCACAAAGGCGAGCTTATCTCCAATAGAGATTTCTTCCAGCAAACCCAACATGAGAAAACTGACAGTTTCAATTAGTAGTTACGGTCATACAGGTGTACCAATCGACTTAAATGTTACAGTTAAAAATAAAAAACTAAAATGTCTTTACAATTGAAAAGACCGATAGGTATAAATAAATAAATAAAAATATGTATAAGTAAATACATATAAATAGATAGATATATATTATATATAATACACAAATATAATAAGTACGTACATCAGCATTGTGAGAGGTAATAATTCTTCAGACGCGATTTGAAAATTCCAAAGCTTGGGCTATTTCTAATTTCATGAGGAAGTGTGTTCCATAATTTAATTTTATCAGACTTCAAAATATATTCAGACGTCATTTATTTGAGCCTGTTTAAGTTTCTATAGCTCTTTAAAATTTTAACAATTATCTTTTTTAAAGAATTTAAATACTCTTTATTGTACTACGAGTAAAACATACAGTGATAATTAGAAACAATGTAAACAAAGGTGAACTTGTCTCTAAAAGAGAGCATATAATTTAGAGCAGTAAGAGAACAAATCTCTATACTTTGGGGCTCATCGTCTTCAATTCGATTATTTATATTTGAAACAAGTAGATTTGTTTTATTCAACTTAGAAAACAAAATTTTAAAACAACTTAGAAAATAAAACGTACATACACTGAAAGAAAATGAAGAGAAATTAAAAACTTTTTTGGAACCGTATACTATTGTAGTTAATTCCTGGTAAATGGTATTCTGACTTCATCCTCTCCATTCATCCCTCATTGGTACTCTGCTAACGTAAACCAATAATGCATCTGAAGTTATCGATTCTTTTTCATCCCTTAAAATAATTTAAAAAACACAAAAAAAAAAAAAAAAAAAAAACTTCATTTTTGGTAAAACCAGTATTTTCATTTAAAATTTAACCTATTGAATGGATTTCACTAAATTTCTATGGGACTAATCTATAAGTATATCCATTCAGATAAATTAAGAATATTATAAATCAGTTTATAACTGATAGAGTTATAAGGTAACAAACATTTTTTTTTTTCTATACAAGGGGCTAACGAGCACGCGGCTCACCTGATGGTAAGTGACTACCGCAGCTCATGATCACTCATAACACCAACAGCATTGCAGGTGTGCTGCCGGCCTTTTAAAAAGTAATATACTCTTTTCTTGAAAGTTATGATGTCGTATCGGTTTAGAAATTTTGCTTCCAAAGAATGGTTGTGCGTGGAAGAAAATGCTGTGAAAAACGCACAGTGGAAGACCGCCACTCGTCCAGATGGTTGGAATGAAATTTTAGTCTATGACGGGTTGTAACATAAAAGAAATATAACCGAATTGATTGAGAATGGTGTTTCGCAGATAGAAAAAATGTGCATTGGGTTTTTGTGAAAATTTTGTGAAATTATTAAATCTCAAAAGTTAAATCAGAATAATGCCCCATCCTCAATATCTTGTAAAGATAATTTGGTTAAATTAGACGTTCCCTTTTTAATAACGTTACCTGAATAATTTATTTACTTGGTAGCTAATGTATACTGTATAACGGTACAAACTCAGCGTCACTAACAACTGTTTCTTAGCTACAAGTTGTACCTTCTTTTGTTAGTTAATCTGACTCTGAATATTTTATAAAGGGATGTAATTTGCCGGAAGAAATGGCTCCCTAGCACTCCTCAAAACGTCCCTCACTGCCCACTTATGCATGTAAATGGGTTCGCTGATGTATTACCATAGTTGGCTCTGGTAATACTTAATTTATCTCAAAGGGAAAGGTGCTTAAATGTTAGAAAGGTGTAATAAGAAAAAGTTTATATGTTTATTATGTGAACTACTACGAATTAGCAAATGATTCGAACCCTTTGCTGTTTTTTTTTTTTTATTTTAAATGATTCGGTTTGGGTATGTTCTCAGTTCTTCTGTATTTTTTGTGTGTGTAAAATATACAATTAAATCGTCATTTTCTGAACTTATTTTATGATACTTTTTTATATCTTATATATTTATATCGTGTTTATCTTTTACTAGCAATCCGCCGCGATTGTATTTTATATTAGCTTTAATAGGTAAATTGTTGATACCTGCCCACGATATTTACATTGTTGTAATGCAGCTTTCTGTAGGTGAAAGAATTTTAATGTAAAATCGTTTTAAAATCGTTTTTGATTTTATCTATTACAAACAAACAATCAAATCTTTCCTCTTTATAATATTAATGTATATATACGAGTATTACGCAGTTACGTTAGCAATGCTGTACTTATTTTGTCTTATTTTGGTTGGTCCCGTATTGATTTGTGACGATTGAGCTACCATTTTTCTTTCAAAACAAAAAACTGTTGGTGGCGAAATAACTGTTGCAAAAGAAAAAAATGAGTTTTTATCCACTTGTAGACACGCGATTCCGCATTCTAAATTTGAATATTTGAATGTAAGAGTATTATACCTACAAAACACCTCATCGTCAATGGATGCAATGTATAAATAATAAAAGATTAATTCAAATAAACACAAAGATTTCGGAATTTATTGTTTTTAGTATAAGCCGATATTGCTGGACGTTTTTATAAATGAGATATTCATAAAAATGTCAAACTTCTCATGAAACTATTTTAGTTACTGAATTGTTTTGTGATTTTCATTCTTGTTAAATTCACAATTTGAAAAAAAGTGACAAAACTGTGAAGGCCAGAATAAGTTTGTGGAATGTTTTAGTTATTACGAATATGGGCATAAAAATTAAAATGTCTCACGATTGAAATAACCCTATTAATAGCAAGCAAAATCGTCTTTGTTATAATGATTTTTGATTTCGTTAGGATAAATATATAGGTATATATACATATGTCGGTACTATTTTAATTTTGTTGCCTTTGACGTCACTTTTTTTTTTAACAAAAATCTTAAATTATTTTAAGGGCACTCTTAATCGTTGTGTAATCTAAAATTCTCCTTTCATACGCTCCGAGATATTTTATGAATAACCTTCCCGGAATATTTGCTGCGACGGCACGGTGAGGAATTTATGAATTTGTTTTGTGTCATTTATGTATAAGAGTATGTGTAGCAATTTTTAATACCGTTTGATCCGCTGACTTTCTGAAATTCTTTAAATTTTTTCTCGGTACTTAACGCGTCGTCATTTGCGTCGTGAATCGTAGGTACCTACATACTTTTATTGGCGATGTTGAAATAAAAATAAATATGTGCAAAAAAACGTCAAACTTTGATGTAAAATATCGTAAATAATATTTTATGGTGTAATAAAAACTGACTTCAAAACAATGCATGTTCTTAATTTATGTACGTACTTATTTTTTATTCTTGTTGTTATTATGCGATATCTCCGTCAATTCTGGATTGATTTTCATTATTCCTTTTGCAAATTACAGGGTTTACTCTCGTTGATCCATAGATACATGGTATTGGACTAGTATTGATGTGCAATGAGGCTTTCGTATGTAAACGTATACTGTTTTTTAACTATATCTTACTCGTTTGACATCATTTGTTCTAACATACGATTAAGAAATTGTATGAATGCTGGAATGAAAACTTTTTATTGTTCTCTTCAAAGAATGTTACAGGTTATAAACATTAACAATATGTATACAAATAAAATGAATATATAATTAAATAAACTTAATTACATAAAAGATAGATAAAGAGGCAACAATGGGCGGCCTTATCGCTAAGTAGCGATCTCTTCCAGGCAACCTTAGGACGGAGAGAAATAATTCAAATTGTACTACCAATAAATAAATTAATCTTGATTTAAATTAAAGTGTATCTTTTTAAAATATAACCATTATTTTTTTATGCACACAAAATCATGGTTTAACTAGTAATTTATAACAGTCTATAGAGCCATGAACCGGTGTAAAATTGCTGTTTGATTAAATTAATATTCCCAACGTGCCAACATAAAGATTGTGAATTCCATAAAAACATAACCGTAAAGATAGCACTATCTTTTCAGGAAACATAAAAAAAAATATAGCAGAAAAGCAGACCGAATCGACCGAGCTGAATGGAGGCTTGAAATAATATCCCTTTCATGTCGGTGTAACGGCGTGAAATGCAAGCCACACTGGGAGCTAAGCTAAGCTAATCTAACCTAACACACACACACACACATCCACACACACACATCTCTTTTCAAAAATATGTAATAGTATTAGAAATAAGTACCTTATGGAACCTTAAATGTTTTGCATTAATTTTTTTTTTCTTGTTTAGTATTTTATATTTTTTTTTATTATTTCATTTTAAATGTATTTTAATTTTCGAGTACCTAAATGATAAAATTGTACAGGAACCGGACTGTAAATGGCAATAAATATGAACAAAATTAGCCACTCACTGACTACTACGATACAGGCCTGCGAACCTAGTGTAGTAATCACTGTATAAGAAATTGTGTACCCGACTTTTAGCTACAATAAAGTTATTATTATTGTTATTATTACTGCTTATTTGTTTAGTATTATTTTATTTAATTCCCCTACCATTAGTGACTGCCAACTTCAAGTGTTAGTCAATCTTCGCCAATCTTCGTCAATCCTCAGCCATATACTGCCAACACTCGAAGATTGATCACCATCATTGCTACTGGAAGTTCTACAATCTTCCATAATATTCTAATCAATTGTTTATTGTTTTCAAACCGTGTTCAAACAAATAATCACTGTTATTCAAACCGTGGTCCATAGATCCTAGGATTGCGTGGTTCCTAACTCAAGGTCCACACGGGAGGAACGGATTGTTAGTAGGTACATATCTGGGATTAACGCTTCCATTGCCAGCAATGTACTCACTCAAATCACGAGATTCCACCTAGAAACCACCGTGATTACAATGGACTAACAGACCTGTTTTCATCTTCACCTATCGTCGCGCGGAATAACCATTTCATTATCATGCATTAAAAAACAAAGTCAGGGCCCACAGCTTAATAGAGTAGTTGAGTCTTTTAGGAACAACGTGTAGTCAAAACAAAGCCTTGCGATATTTTTTTTTTTTTACAACACGGGGTGCAAACGAGCATGCGGCTCACCTGATGGTAAGTGACTACCGCCGCCCATGGTCACCCACAACACCTACGGCATTGCAGGTGTGCTGCCGGCCTTTTAAAAAGGAATATGCTCTTTTCTTGAAGGTTATGTTGTCGTATCGGTTCGGAAATACTGTTGCTGGAAGTTGATTCCAAAGAGTGGTTGTGCGTGGGAGAAAGTGCCTTGAAAAACGCACGGTTTGCACTGTTTAGCACTTTAACTACTCAGTATTGAGTATAGTCATTTATAATAATACTAATAATAGTTTATTCATCTCCACAAATTACAGTGTATAGATTATTTACTTTATACAAAATAAAAGTATCATAATTTATAGAAGATCTGGAGCCTAAACAAACTAACTAAACTTGTATCTTAGACACCAGGTCCCCCATTTATAGAATACGAATTAAATGGTAATTCCTGATAATGGTATTCATTCGTTCACTTTCCACATCTGATTCATTCATTTACATTCTGTCTATCCATAATAATATTTTAATAATTTAAAATCATTTATATTGATTTATAAACTAAATCGCTGATTTTGATAAAATTTCTACTAGCCCAATCAGAAAATTGATTTATAACTGACGAAGTTATATGAAAACAAACATGAAAAATATAGCCGAATTTAAAACCTCCTCCTTTTTATTAAAGTCGGTTGATTAAGTGAGCTAACTTAAAAGATGTTAGTTTAACTTAGCTTATCTATCATGGTGCCCCATCATTACGTTGACGGGTGCATCATTCGATCTTCATCCGTAAAAGTTATTTCAACTAAATTAAAAATGCTATGTAGTCGCTTGGCTTAGCTCTCGGTGTTGTATATCAAATATTGGGCATACCTGGCTGCCATTTTGGAATTATGAGAAATGTTGTGACTCTGAATAATTGTATGTGTACGTGTGATACGTGCTCCACACTACATGGACAGGCTCTCGATTCGACCCTGAGCATATTTTGATATTTCCTTTCTAGCATTCGCTATTACCAAATAAATAATTTATAACGTTATTTATGACTTTCTATGAGTAATGCCAGTTATAACTAGCTATACCCGTGCCTTTGGCCGTATGACAGTGGCAATGACTTTGTACAAAAGTCGATTGCTTGAGTACTTCTGTCCCATTCGTGTTTCAACCGTGAAGCAGTTGAAATGAAATGAAATGAAATGAAATTTATTTGCTAGAAACATTGTAGAAAAGGTGTTGCATTTGTGAAGTTTATAAGATGTCCATTATGTTTCGCCACATCAAATGGCATGCAAATATTAATTATTGAATTTATCCATTTTCTATTTTATACAGGTACATCATATATTTAATTTTCAATTACATATACAATAAATCACTATTAGTACGAAGTGTCACTTTGGTCATGCATTACACACAGTCAATAAAGCTACTACAAATAATAAAATAATAAAAATGTCAAATAAAATTAAAATTACAATTTAAATTTCAACTAAGTCAATGTCACAGCATTTATATTTTACAAAAACTCATTAATATTGTAAAAATTATTTTCTATTAACCATGTTTTCAATTTTAATTTAAAATAATTTAATGGCAATTCTCTTATTTTTTTTGGTATCCTATTATAAATTCGAATAGCCATTACACCGCAATTTTGTTGATGCAGCGTTGACTTACAGGTGGGTAGTTTCAGTTGTGTGGGGTCTCTGGGTGTGAATTTATTATATTCTGTCATTGTTGTAAATAAATACAAATGTTTTTTTACAAATATTCCCACCTCATAAATATACATTGAGGTAAGTGTCAAAAGCTTTAATTTTTTAAATAGAGGTTTACAAGATTCTGTTGGACCAACACCACAAATCGCTCTTATACATTTCTTTTGCGCGATAAAAACTTTTCTTACTAATACCGAATTTCCCCATAGTCGAAGTCCGTATCTCAATATCGATCCTACATAACCGTGGTAAGCGGTAAGGACTGTGGTTTCATTGGCTTCTCTTTTTAACCTTCTTAGAGCATACACAAAACTGTTTATACGCTTCCTTACATTATTTGTATGTCCTTTCCAATTACAATTTTGGTCCAATATAAAGCCTAGAAACTTTATTTCTTTACATTCGGTTACAATTTCATTATCACATGTTATAAAAATGTTTATTGGTTTCATGGAATAATTCAAGAATTGCATATACTTAGTCTTAGATATATTGACACTTAAATCGTTGTGTTGCAACCAGTTTACTATGTCTCTTATTGTGTTCTTTATAGTAATTTCATAGTCAGATTTTATTCTTTCATTTTCAGGAATAATAACTGATAAATCGTCGGCAAATAAAACACATTGATATTTAGTTATATCTGGCAAGTCATTTATATATAGGAGGAATAATAGAGGTCCTAGTATACTTCCTTGTGGGACTCCCGATAGGTTACAATGATAATTAGACTTAAAAGACTTGTTTGTGTTTGTATTATCAATTTTATTTATAAGTACACATTGTTTTCTGTTTGAGATGAAGCTTGATATCCATTTCAGAGTAGGACCTCTAATCCCATATCTTTCGCACTTATTTAATAATATAGTATGATTTAAATTGTCAAAGGCCTTAGTCATGTCAAAAAATATTCCTGTTACTCTCTTTTTATTGTCAATATAATGTGTCAAATTACGAATAACAGAAAATGCAGCTAATGTTGTCGATTTATTTGTTTGGAATCCATTTTGTTACTTTTTAATTATATTAAATTTATTAATAAATTTATTCAGTCTAATATGCATCAATCTTTCAAATACCTTTGAAAATACTGAGTTTAATGTAATGGGTCTATAATTGTTTAATTTGGTTTTATCGTCTTTTTTATGTAGTGGGATTACTATTGAATGTTTCAATCGATTTGGAAATATACCTTGCATGAAAGACAAGTTCACAATATACGTTAACACTGGAGCAATCTCGTTTGCAACTCTTTTTAATATATGAGTTGAGATATCATCAAAACCCACAGACCTTGTACTTTTCAAAGATTTTATAATTTTAATGACTTCTTCTTCATTACAAGGTATTATAAATACTGATGAATTCAGATTTTGAATATTTTTGTGCTGGCAATTTGCTTTTTCCGGATTTTTTTTTGTATACGATATAAAATAATCGTTAAATGCATTTGCAATATTTTGAGGATCATTTATTTTTTTATTCTCAACCTTAATACTTTTAATTTCTTGTTTACTTATATTGCTTCTTTTTTTATTTATGACATCCCAAGTGGCCTTGCACTTGTTTCTTGACTTATTGATAATATTATTATTATGCATTCTTTTTGAGTAAGTAATGCATTTATTTAGAATTTTTGTATATTTAAGATAAGTTGATCGAGTTTTATTTGTATTTTGTTTATACGCATTATATCTAAGTTTTCTTTTATGTGCGCATGATAGTTTTATTCCTTTGGTGATCCACTTAGCTTTATAATTTTGTTCTCTGATTTTGATTTTATTTATTGGAAAACAGAGATTATACAGAGAACAAAATATGTCATGAAATAATTCAAACCCTATATTTGTGTCAATTTTGCTAAATACCTCTGACCAAGTAAGACTTTTTAAAGCTTCTTTAAATTTGCATACATTGTCCTCACTAAAGTCCCTTCTCATAATATAATAACATTCAAGTTCAGGTATTTTACATTTTAATTCAAATGTTAAAGTTTGTCCTGTGTTATGGTCAGATAAGAAAAGTTGATGAACATTTCCTTCTGCCGTTGAGATGTTACTGAAAATGTGGTCTATGCATGTTTGCTGTCTTGTAGGAATAAGTATATGTATGCAAAGATTATAGTTTTGTAATATATCTCGTAGATGACTGGAATTGTTATTTTCAATAAGAGTATTTATATTGATATCTCCCGCTATAATTAATTTAGTGTTAGTTTTAAAATTCAATCTGTGCAACATCATCTCAAATTTTTTGAAAAACATCGTAGTATTTGGTCCTGGAATTCTGTATATACAAATAATCACGCATTTCCACGATGGTATTTCTACGCCACAACATTCAAAATATTTTTCTGTAGAAACGTCGCTGAGAAAATTTATCTTTTTGAAATCTATTGACTTCCTGAGGAGAATACAGACTCCACCCCGTTTCTCATTTGATCTAGAGAAAGAATTTGCTAGATTATAACCACCTAAAAAGATATTTTCTTCATCTCCTTCTTTAACAAATGTTTCTGTGAAACAGATAACGTCTAGTGGTCTATTATTTTCCTTGAATTCATTTATACATAACTCCAATATATCCAGTTTATTTATAAGTCCTGCTATGTTTTGATGAAATAGTGTTACAGTATTTGTCTTTTGGGAATTTTTATATACGAAAAAGACAATTATCTTTTTTATTTTGAGGATATTCTGTAATGTCACTATT